CCTAAGCCCTAAACCCTAAAGGGTTTCTCTCGGGTTTGTCGGGTTTCTTCGAGGTTTCGCAAGGGTTCGGAGCTTCGCAGGGTTTAGGGCCCCGGATCGCGAGGAGTTGGTGTTTTGGAGTGTAGGACGCTAGTCTGGGGTGGCAGTTTCGAATTTTTGCGGAAGTTTATATAAGAGTTTGGGTTTGGTTTAGGTTTCAATGAAGCTCGGGTTAGTAACTGTTAGTAGGGCTTGTCGACGATTGGGATCAGCTCAGAAGGTTTATAGAAGTCTCTTGGTGAGACTGAAACCGAAACCCTAAACCCTNNCTGAACCCTAGACCCTAAACCCTTCACAGTGTGAGTGTGGGGCCTTAGCCACAAGGATAGGCTTCCGAGAGTCAGGAAGGTTATAAGTAAGCAAGGCTATACTTAGGGTAACCCTACCTAGGGCTTGGGGCGCTTGTAACTCCAATTATCACCTTGCTGCTAAATCCCTTGCCTTGAGTGTGCGGCCAAGCAAGCAAAGATACTGAGGAGATGGTCATGCCAGCAGTCATCACGAGGTCGAGCAAAAGACCATACTGACAGGGCTAGTAAGTGTAAGGAGCTAGTACTCAACAGCATGACAACAGTTGTGCTTGCTGCTCTGATGAGTGTGGCGACGAATTATCATGGTGATGGTGGTCATGCTTAATATAGAGGCCTTTATAATTAGAATAGGGTTTGGGGTATACTATATTTATACTAAGGAGCCCCCACAACCCTATTCTAATTAGCAAGGCCCGTACATTATGCCGTGCTTTCTCTGCAATCGATTGTGCAGCCCTTGAGCCCTATGCCCCAGATTCCCAAATTCGGGGAAACCTTAACCCCAAACCCTACACAGAGGCCGGAGTATCGCAGAGCCGGAGTGTGTTGACCTCGATACGCCGTGCTCTGGCTCCCCTACCTGCGCTACCGGAGGCTTATCGTGACACGATTGGACCTGCTGAGGGGTTCATAGGTAAGTACATACAAGCCTTTGGGTTTAGAGTTTTTTGACTAGCCATGATCTTGTGAGTAGGGTTCAGCAACCGTCGTATCGACAGGGTCGTCCCGACCCGACAAGAGAATACTGTGTCAAAGGGTTTCTGGCTGAAGCAAGACAAGCATAGCCAGGCCGTGAAGTGCAGAGATTTCCGAAGTATGGTAACCCTTCTAGTAGGTTCGCAACCCTAGTACCCTTATAACTTAATAACCTTCACAGTGCCCCCATGGGCATCCCTGCCCGAATCGCGCGAAGCCCAACTGTGCAAAAGCGATGTTTCGCTTCAGGGAAGTCTGGCACTTGTTCTGGGCTTCGGCGTGATTGGTCAAGATCGGCTCTTCTATTGCATGTAGTTGCAAAAAGTTACCACCCCAAACCCTCAACCCCAAACGCTAAAAGGCCCTACACCCTAAACCCTAAACCGCAGTCTCCGAAGGGCCGGTTCGTTCTCGAAACCCAGACTCCGAACTCTCAGCTAAGAAGGGGCCTAAATAACTACCCATACTATTCTAAAAGTTCAACATTTATAGTTACAGTATCATATACCCCAAAACCCTGTTCTAGTTATTAAGGCCCCCACACCCTAAACCTTCATAGTAACCCTCATCGAAACCTTAAGGAACCCTTTAAGGGAGCCACCCAAAACCCTATTCTAGTTATAAAGGCCCCTATCGTGCTTGGTTTAGGGCTTTGGGTGTAGGAGAGGCCAGGAGACAAGGGCTAAGATGTGCGCGGCTTAGGCTTCAGAGTCTGGGCCTCCGGGTCTAAGACTTTATAAGTTCAGGGTTGTAGGGTTTGGAGTAGAGACTCAACATGAAAAGTCCGCCACTACTCAAACGGTCACTTTGGGTGGGCAGGGCTAGTGGTCTGAGTAATTCCCCTAGTCTCCCATTAAAATCCATTCCTAATTTAGAGTTGTAGCATCGTATACCCCGAAGCCTTAGTCTAATTACCAAGGCCCCAAAATCAAGCACTTGTAAAACCCAACACCAGCCTGTAACTATAACCCCTTCATTAAACCACCATTGTAGAAGAGGCATGACTCTATTTGGGTAGTTCTCTAAATTAGGGTCCTTTCTAGGGGCCTTTTTTATAAGGGTGCCCTACTATATTGGGGACCCAAAAAGGGACCCAATTTCGAGAACTACCCATTTCTTAAAGCTGCCGTATCCGAGTCTGGCGGAGGTGGGCGACGAGGAGTCAGATGCGGAGCCTTTGCTCACGCTTGATGATGCGGAGGACCGGACCTTGGACGGTCTCAGAGTTCAGCACGTCTAAGGATCGCCGGAGTCGTAGTACAGTAGTACAGTATCACAACAGCACAGTAGTAGTAATTACAGTAATTAGTAGTACAGTAGTAGTACAGTAGTAGTACAGTAGTAGTACAGTAGTAGTACAATAGTATTACAGACCCCCCAAACCTTGTACCCAAATCCCCTAAACCCTAAACCCTAAGCCCCTAAGCCCCTAAAGCCCCTAAACCCAGGCAAGCCGGTTAGAGAAGAGGGAGCTACCGGCACGGTTGTAGACGTCCCTTCAAGGCGAATTCGCGCAAGAGTAAAACGAAGGGCTTGCGGTTGGACTGCCAGGGTGGGTAGTAGGGAGGGTGGGAGGGTTTCGGGGTAGTATTGGTAGAGTTTC